AAGTGAAAAATCAAGAAATCGAAAAATCAAAAATTTTAAAAATTTAAAAATTTAAATATCGAAAAATTAAAAACTCAGATAATAATTAAATAATCTATAAATCGAAAGAAAAAATCGGAAAATTGAAAAAACTGAAATTTAAAAATCGAAAAAATGAAAAATGAGAAAGCCGAGAAGTCAAAATATCGAAAAACCCAAAATTTAAAATATCCAAAAACTGAAAAATTGTAAAATTGAAGAATCGAAAAACTGAAAAATTGTAAAATTGAAGAATCAAAAAACTGAAAAATCGAGAAAGTAAAAAATCGAAAATTCAAAAAGTCGAAAAGTCAATCAAGAAACAAAACATCAAAATATGGAGAAATCGAAATAGTCCAAAATCGAAAAATCGAAAAGATAAAAATTGAAAATCGAAAAAATCAAAAATTTTTAAAATTGAAAAATTAAAACTAGAAAAACTGAAGAATCGAAAAATCGGAAGCTTGAAAAATCGACGAAACAAAAAAGTTGAAAAACTGAACAATCTAAAATTTAAAAATTAAAAAGTAAACAAATGAGAAATCCAAAAATCGAAAAGTAGAATAATTGAAGAATCGAAATATTGAAAAATCCCAAAACAAAACTTTTGAAAACTCCTAAAACTGAATCATCGAGTAATCGAAAAATTGGAAAAATAAGAACTTGAAAAATCGAGAAACTGAAAACTTGAAGGAATGAAAATTTGAAAAATTGAGAGAGAGAGAAGTCGAGAAATAAAAAAATCGATTAATTGAAAATCGCGAAATCGAAGAATCGAAAATTTAGAAACGTCAATAATCGATAAATTGAAACATCGAAAAATTCAATAATCGTAAAACTGAAACATCGAAAAGTATAAAAATTGAACAATAAACACTTTACAAATCGAAAAATTAAAAAAAACCGAAAAATCTAAAACCAAAAAGTCAAAAATTCGAAAGATCGAGAAATCGAAACATCAAAAACTGAAAAATCTAAAATTTGAAAATTCAAAAATTGAGAAACAGAAATATATTAGAACTGAAAAATCAAGAAATGGAAAAATCCAAAAATTAAGGGATCGAAAAATTGAAAAATCGAAAAATGGAAAAATCGAGAAATCGAAACATTAAAATTTATAACAACTGAAAAATCTAAAACTTAAAAATAGAAAAAGTAAACAATCGAGAAATCGAAAAATGAAACAGTAGAAAAATTGAAGAATCGAAATATTGAAAAATCCTGAACCTGAATCATCGATAATAAATCGAGAAGAGGAAAAGTTGAAAATTCAAAGTCGAATAATATCAGAAATTTAAAAAATCGAAAAATTGAAAAATCAAAAACCTAAAAATCGAGAAACTAAAAAACTGAAGCATCGAAAAACCGAAAAATCGAGAAATCGATAAGTTGAGAAATAAAAAAAACGAGAAATCGCCAAATCAAAAAATGGAAAATGTAGAAACGTCAATAACTGATAAACTGACACATCGAAAAATTTAAAAATCGTAAAACTGCATCATCGGAAAATTATTGTAAGAGAGAAAAATCAAAAGTTGAAGAATCGAAAATTTGAAGAATTGGAGAAGTGAAGGATCGATCAAATTGAAAAATCCCAACACTGCAATATCGAAAAATTGAGTAAGGGAAAAATTAAAAATCGAGAAATTGAAGAACAAAACTGAAAAATCCCAAAACTGAAATATCGAAAAATTTAGAAATCGTAAAACCCAAAAAATCGATTTTTTTTTTCTCAAAAATCTCCCTGTCTAGGATAAGATTCAACACGAATTCATAAACCACAAGTTCTATGGACTATGTAGCTTTTTAATATTTAAATAATATTTATTCGACAAAATTTAAGATGACGTATGAATTTTTGGGGAGGAGGGGCTTGAACGGATAAACTTTGATTAACGATTTGCATTTGTATAGCGTTACACAATTTCAATTTTTTTCAAAAGAAAAACTCAACACGGATTTATAAATCACAAATGGAGGAGAGCGTTATTTGATAAAATTAAAGTAACATTTACTATTGTAAAATTTGGAGATGACGTCCCTCCATTGTTGGTGGGAATGAGGAGACAAATTTTGGTTAGCAATACCATTTACATCATGTTTTTAACATACTTACAAATTTTGACAACAATCGGTCTGTTATTCCGACGGACAGACAGATAGGCAGACGGAAACGGGAAACCTATTTTTTCGTACTCTGGGGGTGAAACGTCCAAAAAGCACGAAAGTAGTCAGTTGTCCAATGGATAATAACAATCACAATAAGAATCACAGTTTAAGGTAAAATAAAACGCGAGATCTTTTTACGAAAATTCGGACGACTAGGCGAAAAGCTCAAAGCAAATTCGTACATCACAAGTGTAGGAGTACATTATATTATTGATAAATCTCTAACCAAAATTGATTTGTTTATCGCCACAAAGAACTTGATAAGGTCATCCCAAAATTTTGCCTCCTCTTGTAGTTTATTAGTGAACCAATTACTTTGAAAATATCACTGTAACAGTGTAGTTTATAGTTTAGCTAGTTTACGGAAACCACAATGATGTGATGGGTTAAAACTCAACTAAATCTTGGACAACCTTATAATTTACGACAGCTTTTGTGTAATCATTTTAGAATGTCGAATTCTACCCAAAAAACTTTGAGAGCTTTTCGCGTCGAGAAACGTTGATGGGCGGTTAAGCGAGAGACTGATGACAATCCTCTGCATTTGTACTTGTCGTCGTACGCAATCGATAACTCTTAAGTTAAAATTTTAATCACTTATGTTCAGACTGTTCCTCCACTAACACGATGTATTCAACGTACAATACGCTGGAAACGTAATGTACCAAAATAAACGAGACTAAATAGTAAAACGGGGGCTGTGGGCGGAACAAGTGTTGCAGAGCTTTCATTTATGAGGAGTGAAATAATGAGTGGAAGTGCAGAAACAAGAAACCGTACTTTTGATGTGCTGTTTATGAATTAATAAAATTTGGTACAAATGTTGGCGTTTTAACATTTTCAGTTTCCAAAAGGAAAACTTTTGAAAGGTCGGGCTTTTGTGACCCTCTTTTTGTTGTAGAGGGCGCTATTGGTTTTTGTTAATCATCTCTCCGCTCGTATTTCAATTCCTTTTACTCGTATTTAATTAATTTTAATTGAACAGTTGACATATAACATAGCTAATTAATCATAACGAGCGGTAAATAATTATGTGCTAATACAATAGTTCTTATTTTACGTCACTTTGATAATTAAGTAAGAGAACTAATTCAGAGAAAGATTACAAGGGTCGCTGGAGCTTAATTTTTAGCTTGTCGTTAGTGAGAATTGTAAGTCATACTTCTTCCCAGAGGGTCTCACTGGATAGTTTTTCACTTCCGTGCCTGGTAATGTTCCTTGGCGTCCAACAAGGATATGGTTACTGTCTGTACGTTATGCAAAATTGTTTAGTATTTGTAGTTATGTTTGAAACGTGTAGACTTTTTCTTGTACGAAACCGATGTTTAACTTTCATGTAAAATGTAAATCTCGAAAAAATTCCGTAGAATAAGAAATGAAGCCTCGTCCAAATTCCAGAAATTCCACCCAATGCTACAGACCCACAACCTGTGGAATTCTCAAATTAGACTATATTTACCCGAGCCTAAAAATTTCGAAATTTGTTACAACACGATCGATCGATTTTATCACGACCATGTCATCTGTCAGCGTGGAATTAATCCCGAACGAACGAATTAAATACCCAAAATCCCGAAAAAATGAAAGTCTGTCATTACCTGCGTGTTTCGCCAATTTTCGCAAGTTTATGACATGTGTGACATGGGTGTTTTGCTGGCCGAGAATCCAGAGGTTAACGGCCCCATGGCAGTTGACCCAGCCGGACAAATGATCTTGAACGTACGCACAGACCTTGAGAGTAGTGCCAACATTTCCACCTACGTTATTACGTAACCAATTTGATTGACCCAAATTGTAAAAAAGCAGAACATCCTGAAAATGGCTGAAAAATGCTAATGGAACACCTGTTAACTGACACCAACGTTTTTCGGTGCACCTGCTGCTCGGAGGAAAGCGAGAGATGGCAGAGATGGAGCGCTAATGCCGATTTGATAACGTTTTTATTGTTGAGGATTAGTCGAGGGCAAAAACCTCTCGGATGGATTTCGTTTCACGTATTGCTCAGATTTTCCGAGTTCGGCTTAATTTCGTAAAAGCTTTCTTTGTGTTTCGGTGCTTTATTTATCTTTGTTTGAGAAGTTTGTTTGCTTTTTCGAACTATCGGATCGTGAGGGTAAGAATGACCCGAGTGTGTTGAGAAACATTTTTGCACTGGAAACAACTTGCGTTTTAAGATACAAGACGGATCCTGGATGGATAACTTTAAAAACGAGAGTCTGTAACGAATGTTGAATACAGAAATGTCTTTACACGTTTCCGTCGGTGTCATCGTTGAATAAGTACATCTAAATTAATTTAAGACTCACTCTTGAAGGTACAATCGACGTTACTTACAACCGTGAGTTTTGCTATATTTATTGCTTTTTAATTTTACAAGTGGTATCATATAGCTTTGAATTTTTGTTAAGAAAAAGTACAACTCGAAAAGTCTGACTATTTTACCGCGAGCCCGTTGTGACCTTTCTGAAACAAATTCGAGGAGACAGTTAACCTCCTTAACTGACAATAATTTACAACTTGCGACATGTGTGGTACTCCAGGTTGTTTCCAAGGAGAGCCATTTGATTACAAGTGTTGGAGTTTTTCCACGAAGTCCATCCACGTCCGCTTTTCAAGATCTGCTACCGCTTAACATCCGACCGAATCCACCATTACCCAGATTGCACCTTTCCCAAGTACAGTCTTCATTAAGACATAATAACTATCAATTTCGTCGTAAACTTCCCGATAAGGAAGCCCTCTCCTGCAATTATCCTAATGAGAGCTTAAGCTCCTGCATGACGGAACGTTAATTCGAATTTTTTCTTTTGCAGCAGGCAGCAGAGCTCCTTGCCCGGTGGAAGGACAGCCGGTAAAAGTCGACCATATCGACAAATCCAATTGTTTCTCCTGCATATGCAAGGTAATTCGCGAGAATTGGCGGAGCGCACTGGCGGAACTGGGGGGGGTTTGGGGATCTGACACCCTCACTCCCCATTGCACAGTTTTATGTCTAACAAGATGGTCCCTCACCGCAATAATTTTTCTCTCGCAGATTTGTTCTTAATATGATTACTAGGAATTGGTTTTTAAATTACAAACAATGTAATAAGTAATGGTCATTATTAGAATTTTTAATGCAAAGTAACCCAGCACGTTGTACATAGTTTGTAAACAATACACAATTACGTGGAGTAAATTCATGCAGATGTAAATAATCTAAATGGTTTTGTAAATGCTTATTGCAATTTTTAACCTATTAATTGTCATTTTGTACGGTTTAAACTGCGATAAAAACTATTTTACAACCGAATCCAATGAGGTTTCTAATTTTATATTTGCGAACTGTGCACACGTATTTGTTAAAGAAACATATAATTAATTCATACTATCCTCTGGTGTCCTTCAGGGGTCGAATCTAGGTCCTCTGTTCTTTTTGCTTTTTATTAACGATCTATATTAGAATGTCAGAAATTATTGTATGTCAATGTGTGCATTGTGCAACTCGCAGCAACATTGCACCATCACACAACAAACACAAATCCTTTTGATCCTGACAAGTCACCATTTCCAAAAGGCATCCGCTCGTCTGCCGCCTCGCGTTCGAAAGGTCGCAGAGATTACCCGAAATCGGTTAATTGGCAATGGGTTGGACGTAATTTCTCGTACGGCCGAGAAGCGTGATATTTAAATTCAATAATTAATCAAAAAGAAAGTTCAATGTATCTCTCCCATGGCCGTCCAGCTGTTAACCCAAAAACAAAAAGTAGCAATCGAGAAACACACTCCACGTCAATCAGCCCGACAGGTATGTCAACAGCATCGTCATCGAGAGATTTACGCACTATTTACACACCAATAGCAAATACTTGAGGAGTTTGGCCGAAACAGGTCGCGCACTTATCGAGATTTGAGTTATAGGCCGTTGTTCGTAAAACCAGTTGCAGAATTCGTAAACAAAATTAATAACTCTTATAAAAACGCGCGGTGTAGAATTACGGCGATGATATGTGAGGAATCTGGAGAATGCCTCCGCAAGAGTTATGCTCCGTCATAGGCGTAACTAGAGACAAATCTGATTCGGATTCGGTTGCTTTAAATTGCTGACGTTACAGTTTACTTGGTACTTGTCCAGTAACACCAACCAAACTCTTAAAAACATCGATTATATTATTATTAGTACAAGGAAGAAGATTGAGATGTTACAAAAACTATAAATATAAATTTAAAAACAGTTTTTACCGACTTTTAAAGTAATATCATAAACTGTCTGTAAACAAGTGCTAAACAAGTACATTTACTGTTATAACGTTATAACTGGTAGTGCTCTTAAATTTAGAAGCAAGTAATTCAGTATTGCTCAATGATTATTGTATTTTGCTTATAACCGTCACGACTTAACAACGATAGGAATGATCAAGTACGAGAATAAGACAACTGGTTGATGGAATTACATGACGATAACAAGTTCGAAGGAAATACCAACAAACAGTTTCGTCAGAAGTAACTGGCTGATGTAGGGGAAACCTGCCTATGATGGCATACTTGACTTTGACACCTTACTATAACCTCATCTATAACATAATAAGTGGAAGTTTGTCATTCTCAAAACGGAATTTGGGAAGGCTGTCATCAACATTTTTACACATGTATGGAATAGGTTTACAGCTTTTTTTAACCCTTTGGCTCATCTATAACATTAAGGATTTTTTTAAGCAATTTAAGGAAGCATTTATATTGACACACATCCAATTTTCAATACACGTAATAATTTTGGAAAATTTGGAACCAAAAACCTGAAATGTGCCGTTCTTAAGGTGGCACACCCTTGAAGTAATTTTAATTTTTATGAAATATTGACGGGTTATTATTATTAATATTATTAAAGTAAGATGGTCGACAAGCACTAGTCCCAATTACAAACAACATATAGCATGCAGAAGATATGTAGATGTTAAACTGAAAAATACACCATTGTCAGACTCATCAAGCAGCTATAAATTACTGCCTCACCCAGAAAGTTCAATTTGACATTTAGGCGAATGTGAAAAACGTCAGAGAACAGTTGTCACATGAAAATGTCAAAAGAAGCGCAGTCTGATAACAAAAATTCAGGAATACCATCATGACGAGCCGTAAGATTGGATTTCAACTTTTTTAGAGCACCTAACACTTCAGATTCAGAAAAATTTGGATGGTGAACATCCTCTTCTAACAAGATATCAATCGACTTCAAGACCAAGTAATAACAACTTACTGCTGATTCGAGCGGAACATGGTTGGTAATTTGAGATGTTAAAAGCACCTATGACAATTAAAATTACCTAATAAATTAAATAACACTTCATATTCATCAACAGTAACAATGGACTGAATGTAAACAACAAATATACTGACTTTCCTAAAAATTCGAACACCTAGAAGGAGTTGAATAATGTAACTGAAATTTTCGCCAGATATGTATTAAAACGAACAAAACCAATGATTAAAATAACAGGGTTGAAACTTATGAAATAAAAATGTTATTTAATAATGTGTGGGTCTACCACGATTGTTTATGCAATTGTTTATGTTGATATCCCACAAATGTTCTATCGGAGATAAATCGGGTGAACGAGCAGGCCAGGGGAGCACTTCAACATTATTTCTTCGTTCGTTATTGACGTTCTTCGAGGGCTACGAGATGCACTAATTCGTGTATGGAATCTCTCCTGAGACTATCTAGTCCAGCCTATAGCAAAACAAGTCAATAAAGGAATAAATAAAATGCAAATCATCAAATAACGAAGCATCAAGGCAAAACTTAACAAAAAGAGTTGTTTACAAAGTTCGCAGATGAATTGCTTGACTCTTTTCTCGACAACCGCACACTCATTGTGGCACCTGGAATGACACTTCTGACATCAAATCCACAATTCTCTTGTTTTCGACCTAGAGAACACATCATTTCGCAATATAAACATGAGCATCAGCTTCATCGTCACTGACATCGTCCTTTTCTTCTTTAACCAAAATCTTCTTTTGTGCTTTTCTTGATAACTTTTCCCTTTTTTTTCTTACCGTTTCTTCGACTTCCCTTTTCAATTCATCAATGCCTGGCGTGGAATTTATATGTCTTTTTTTGTTAAGTTTTACTACCTTTGTAGATTCTGGTGTTACAGAACCTGGTTTAGCCAGTTCTACGTCTACGCCTCCATGTTGTGATTGTTCTTGATCATTTTGGCATTGGTCTTGTTCAGTTAACGGTCTATCAGTTGTGGTAGAGGGTTGGAACATCCATTCTGAAAAGATGTTGTCGTCGAAGGGATGGATATATTTGCGGGTGTAGTAGCTTTCAAATAAACTTTATTGAAAAGACCAGCTACTTGGAAATGTGTGTCGATTCTGTCAAGATTTTGCTCGAGCCAGGTATGAATTTCTTGCCTATAACAAGCTTGAAGAGGTGTTTTCATTCGAAGCTGAATTCGGCCTCTTTTTTTTTAAATATGTATGTCGCTTTTTTTCAACAATACGATAGTTAAAACACGTGTTTTCTTTTGTAGAGAAATTTTGCAATTGAGTTCCACCCCTCGTCTCACGACCAATAAAAAATTAAAGGATGGGTGGGTGGGGCTTATCCTCTGACTGTCTTTCCTTAAGATACTTAGTCTTTTATCGACAATAAAATCTTTAAAATACTCATTCCTTACTTTTTCGCAAAATAATTTATTTTCAACAATGTGATACTGATAATGCATCAAATATGTTTCACCTGGTAATTTCTTGTAAAGAAATATAATATTTGCAATCAGCTCCGCCCCCTGGTCTCACAACGAATAAAAAATTTATCAGAACTGTGGTTGGGGCTAAATATTTGCTTCTTTTGTTAATTGATATAGTTTTTTTTTTTCTACAAAACGATTCTAAAAACATGTTTCAAGTGGTAATTTTTTGTAGATAAATATGAACTTTGTAATTAAGCTTGCCCCTCGTTTCATGACGACAAAAAAAATGAATCACGATTGAGATGGGGGCGGGTGGGTGGGGCTTATCCTTTGGCGTTTTTAGTAGGATTTTTCAATAATAAAATACTTAAAATATCAAACGGTACTTTAAAAAAATATTCCAACAATATTGGAGCGTTGTCCATCAGCACATTTTTCATTCTTTTTCTTGGGAATATAAAGAGTGGTGGCACAAACATCCTCTTGGCATCCATACACAACACTAGAGTTAAATGCTGTCCTCGTTCAGCACTAGAGATCGTTCCAACTTGCTTTCGTCCCTTTGTGGCGACAATTTTTTGTAGTCATTTTTGTGCTATACTGAGAGCAAATTCGTCGACGTTGTAATTATTTTCTGGTCGAAAGTTACATTTTTCCGTAACCTCATTGAGAGATGTAACATACAAAGCGATATTGTCTTTAGTGAAGGCTTGTGCCCGAGCAGCCGAGGTGTTTTCAGGCCTGCCGAGAGATATCTATGGATTCTGTTATCACTAGCTGTTTCCTTTTCTTTGTTAAATAGGTTTTTTGTATTATTTTTAGTTACAAATTTAAAAATTAATTTTTTTAAAATCCTTTAGTGCCAAACCGAAGAATTTAGTTTCCATACCCTTTATATGTTGAGCAAATTCATCTTCCATTACAATTGTTTTTAGGGACGTTGAAGGTTTTCGACGTTAATTGTCATCCTATCTTTTTTTTCTCGAACATTTCTCAAAGCCTGCACCATATTTTTCTCCTGACATTCTTGTCTCTTAGGCTTAGTTGACATTGTTCTTCAGGCTTCAAATGACATTTCTCTGTCGTAAAAAGAAGACTTCTTAGTTTTTAAAAGAATCAAGTCTAACCTACCACACTTACTCTGAAATAACTCATAAGCAAAATTAACGGCAATTGTTCATAATAGAAAGGAATTCACGTCTGAATACATGTTGTGAAT